GTCAGGTAGTTAGCTACAGCCTCGTCTTCGAGTTTTTAATTTTTGTTGATGCGTTTTGAAGAGACAATTTCTTTAAAAGAGGATCAAAGTAAATCACCCGAGTTTTTCTAGTGACCCTTAAATAGATAAGCTGTCGTGAAGAACATTATTTTATCTGCCCTTATTCCTAATTTGATAATGATTTAAAATGTCAAAGTATGTTTTGTAAATCCAGAACAGCGCTGGTTGCAAAGTGTTTTGATGCTCGTCTTCGTCACCTGACACATTTAACACGCTGTCATTGGTTGAGGAGCTTTGTTTACAAAACAGATGTCCACATGGTTTTTAAATTGTTTTAATTTMCTTACTTTCTAAGACACATTAAGTTGATTTGATGCTGCAGTTTGCCTTTAATATTATTTTATACCTTTTCTGCTACTTTTGAACTGGCTATTATTAAGTTTTATTAGTTTTTTTTAGGATACGAGAAGAATTCATACAAAAACCAGAATGTGAATCTATTCCTAAAATTTCATGGCGATATCTTGAACACTGAGGAAGTTATGAGCAAACATAGAAAACAAGGTGAAATGGTCACATTGGTTCTGCTGTGAACTGCAGCAAGAAAACATGAGCTGATTTCACCATAACTTCCCTCATACTTGAGATGATCACATGATGTTGGTCTTATTTTGTATGGTTTGAAATGTTCTTTTGGAATCCGCTGTCAGATTTAATATTGGTGTAGGATTAAAAATTTATCCACATTCCTAAATTATGGCAGAAATCACAGRTTGATTACATAAACAAAAGCATCAATAACTTCCTTAATGCTTGAGATAATCACCAGATTTTTGGTGTTTAAAATTCACTGTCAAACAGACATTAAAAAGTAATGTTAAAACATGTTTTTAAAAAGAAAACATTCCTATATAAGCTTTGAAAATCAGCATTAGTGAAATTAAAAACACCCCAAAAGCAGAGCACAGCATAAACAAAACATTTAAGAACCATTGTTTTAAATTCTACTTGGAGCATTAAACAAATCTCTTACTTGGAGGTGAGCAGCTGGTTCATTGCAGACACCTGAACACAACCTGAAAAGGTTCTTCATCGCTCCTCATAACAGAAAAGTCTCAGATCTCACAACACAAAGCACACAAGTCCAGACCTTCAGGCATGACACACACATCAGTTCCTGTGCTGACACCCACAGCCCCTGCTGCACTCTGCAGTAGCTGCATGGGAGACCCTGTAGCACCGGGCCAGGTGCGGGTCATCAGCTCGTTACACAGCCTGTTTCCTACCTTCTCGCTGTCCACAGTGTTCTGGGAGGTCCGGGAAGCGATGGAAATGGTATCTGGTTGGCTGCTGCCGTCTCCCTGACTGTCTCCATCCTCACCTCCGTCCCTGAACACAACACAGTCAGAATAAAGTGTCACCCCAATAAAAGTGTAAACTAAAAGAAAAAGCATAACCGCGCCCCCAGGCAAATTTGAAAATTCAAACAAAGTGGGCGATGCTGAGAGACACAGAGGGGCAAGGCCTGGACAGACTGCTAGTCCATCACAGGACACAAGTTATTGTATGTTTTATAGAAATGCAAACTGCTCACTAAGGGTTAAAGATTCCCAGACTGTTTGGTTGTCACTTGTTGCAACTAGTGTCTGTATTTCAGCAGATTGTTTCATGAGGGGCAATCTGTCCCTCTCCAGGTTCTGCTGCTTGATGTCGATCAGTCTGTGATGGTTTACTCCTCAGGTAGGGTTTCTACAACTTTTGTCTTGGCAGTCAGATTTCTGTTTGAAATGTTTGCTGGCTTTGAGGTTATAGTCAGGGTTGCACATAAAATGTTTGGTCTGGTTCTCAGGGGAGAACCTAGGGCTGTTGCTTGTTGCTCACTCATATTTTC